ACTTTGCCAGAAATCAGCCTGTCCTGTAGTGCTGTTTTGCTACATTCTGTGGAGAGATTAATAGCTCTTAAAAGCAGGAGGGACTGTTATGACCACTTAGTCTGATCTCCTGCAGAGCACAGGATGGAGAATTTCTTCTGCTTCAGGTCCACGACTTCTAGTAAAACAAGAGTGTTTCTCAGCCAGTGCAGTCAGCCCTGATTTATTCCCTCGGCTGTAGCGTTTCGTCTGATCCCCTTCTCTCTCTGTCCCCTTCCCATGCCTGCCTCTTGCCTGGGGACTTGACTGCACAAGCCCACGGCAGCCGACCTTGTAGACCCCCTCGGTTGGGCAGGGTCATTACAGCCCTTTTTGGCTAAGCTGGTAAAACATATGCCGCTCTCACTGTTTTATGTCTTAGGTGCTGAAATTCTGGAGGTGTGAAAAGATTTGGTAGGACTGCTCTTGTGGGGCAGAACGTACTGGCCTCGCCATGCTCTGCCTGGGGCCCCTGTGCTTCTGGTCCCGGCAGACGGCCAAGAGACCAGCTGGGACGTGTCTTCAGTGCAGGTCCCAGGTGGGGGTTTAGTGTAGCGGCATCTTTCCCACGGGCTGGGGCTGTAGCCGGAGCCTCGGCACTTTTTATGTGGCTTTGGCCCATGCACAGCTCAGGGGGATGCAGATGGAGGGTGAGGAGCTGGAAAGCATAGCTGGTGGGTCGCATTGGTGTTGCCCACCTCATGCTAGAGCAGCTCATGGGTGGCCTAAAAGCAGTGCAAGTTCTTCAAAGACATATTTTTTCTCTGCCTTCATGTTTCAAAGCAGCTGAATTATGCTTGGATTATTTTCCCAACCTTTTGTTCACAGCTCTGAGAACTCATGACTTGTTTTTAAAGGAAAGCTGAGAGTTTTATGTATTTGGGTGAGGCTGGGAGAAGAAGCTTTTGGAAGAAGAGCCAGGCTCTTAACAGGATTGCCGGTGATTTGGGGAGGCAGACAGCTTGCTCTGTAGCCCTGACAGTCTCCCTTCGTGAGGTTCATCAGGCAGAGAACGAGGCAGCGTGAGACACAGACTCCTCTTACGAGCAGGGAAATGGGGGACTGTGGAACGAGGCAACCCTCCAATGCCCCGTGCTAGTAATGGCCCTCTTCTAAATGCTCCTTGTTCAGCATCACCTTGTTGAAGGTGGACGGTTTGGAAAAGGGGTGACTAATAACACGGCAAGGCTGCTATTTTCAGAGCTTGCTATGAAAGAAGAGAAATAACTTATGAGGACTTTGAGAAACTGGATTGTGGTCCTGCTACAGGGCTGGATTATTTCTTACAGAAGAAAAAAATTCCCTGTAGAAAGGAAGAGGAACTTTGTTAGTGGAGGTGAGACTCATGGACAATGTCTACCCCGTTCAAACACTTGCAGCCCACAACTTGCTTAAGCCAGAAAGGTCCAGGAGCCGGAGCTGGAACAAGAACAACAAGGTTCAGGATCTGTTTCTGGCTCTTGCACAGGCTGGCTTGGTGACCTCGGCCAAATCCCTTCTCTCCCTTGTGTTCCTGTTTGTAAAAGGGTGAGGAGTCTGTGGCTTTTGTAAAATGCTCTAGGAGCAAAAATAGGCTTGTGTTGAGGACAGTGACCAGCTGCTTGAAATGAATAGAGCCTTTGTAAGGGGGGTGTTCTTCCCCCTCGTTTTAGCACCCAGTTATTTGTGCTTCCTCAGGGATTCGGGATGGGACAGCAGTTAAACAAATGGCAGAACTGTCTGTCTTCCATAGCTTACGTGCCATTGAGCATTATCTGCATTTTAAACCTATTGCGAGGCCTCTATTTTGCAAAAAGAAGTCTCTGGGTTGGCAGCTCCGTCCCGTTTTGGCTACTAAAGCAGGAGCTGATCCCATCCCGGTGGGACAAGGATGTACCAGGCTGCTGTGGGATGCGCTGCTCTGCAAAGGAGACCGAAGGTCATTGAATCGTTATCTCTGTGGCTGTTGGCAGCCGCCACCGAGTGCAGTGTTCCTGCGATTAATGCCGTCTGATTGGTGCTTGTGCTGACGTGGGGGCTTGCTCAGCTCAGGCTTGCTGGGTCATTAGTCCATTGGCAACCGGGGTGGTTGCTTAGCTGAGACTCCTGCAGGGACACTTAGTGCTCAAGGGTTGTTTTGGGGTGTCTGAGGACAAAACCTAACCAGAACCCTGACAAAACAACCCCTGGTTGGCTAGATTAAAAAAAAAGTAAGGCCAAAAACCTGCTTGGAAAATAACATTCTGCCTCTCTTGGTTTATTCTGTGGTGGAGACCGATTTTCTAGCTGTGAACCGCTTGGACCTCTACGCTCTGCCATGCTGTTCAGCAAGGCAGGGTTCTGCCCCAGCCCTGGCTGCGTTTTGGGAATAGTTGAGAGGCAGCTGGGTTTTGCTGTTCTGCTAATTATAAAGTCCAGAAAGTCATTTAGCAGTATTTTCGGAAGTGTGCTTTCCTGGTGGAGAGCAAGTGTCACAAGCCGGTGGTGCTTCTCCTGAGCTCCTCTTCCATCAGCATCCAAGGGTTTGTTGGTCACAGAGAAGAATTAGAAACCTAGAATTAGAAACATGTTGTGCTCTGCTCTCTGAGCTGCCCGCTGCTCCCAGCAATCCTGCTCGCCTTTGCTTTTCGAACTCTCCAGCTGTTTGCATGTGTGATCATGAGCGGATCATCCTACCCCAGTGCCTCAGTTTCCCCTGCAGTGTGGGATCACTGACACCGGTCCCTTTGCGATGGGAGGATGAGAAGTGCCCTTGGAGTGTGGATATTAACATGTCCTCAGGCATTTCTCCTCTGACGGCTGATCTTGTTCTTGCAGGATTCTCCGAAAGATTTTGGCTTCTGTGGAATAGTCCTAGGAAGCCTTTAAAAATAACCTTGTTTGGTTGTTTCCTTAAACCAGGAGGTCACTTGCTTGTGGGGTGACGTTAGATCGGTCCTGTCATAGACCTGCAGTTCTGTTTCCCATCTGGTAAATAAGGATAAATATTTTTAAGGATACTTTGAGGATTCAGCAGTGACTGCTTAAAAGAATCCTTGCAAACATGTGCCAGGCTTTTGAAGGTCAGGACCGCTCACAGCAGCTCTGCTCAGGGATCCCCTTAGCAAAACACGGGCAGACATCTGAAATACCCAAACCCAGGCTGGTCTCATTCTCAGAGACAGACTCTGCTGCTCTGCATTGTGCCGCTAATCGTCCCCAAGACAGCCTTTAAGGGTTATATAATTTTAGCTGGTGTTTTGCAGGGTGGTGGTGTTTACTGTGGACTCAGTTTGTGTTTCGCTGCCCTCCCTGCCTGGGCTCGGGTTCCCCGGTGAGCAGCGGCAGCCTGTTGGTATCGGCGGAGGAAAAGGGCCGTATCAAGTGCCGGGAACGCTCTGCAAGTTTAATGAGGCAGGAAGGAGACACATGTGGCCTCGGCTTGGAGGGTGCTGCCTGGTTCCTCTCCTTGCATTACAGAATCAGGAGTGCTGGGGCTATTTTGGGCTCTGCTTTAGCTAGCATCCGCTTCCGTTTGTATTAGCAGAGACCCAAACTTGGCTCTTTTCTGCCCATCTCTAGTGCAGAGCCAGCACTGTGTGGCTGAGACCAGGTTCACCTCTGCTTTATTTATTGTTTGCCCGTGTGCCTTGGTGCTGTAAGTCATGTTTTTGCTGAACTTTCCCTGTGCGGCTCAGAGACGGGTAACTGCTGGGACCTCTTTGTTCATCCCAGGATAAAGCAGTAATTCCTTAGCAAATAAAAACCAGGGTGCCACAGGGTGCCGCATATGTGACTCCAGTAAAAGCAAATATCTGTTGTTCTACACAAGTGAAATAGTTGTGCAAATCTCATGCTGAGACACCAAGTGTTCGGAGCAAAAGGATACCTGACTGGAGGAACTGGGAACAAGCCCTCTCCCCTGCATCCCGGGCTCCCATTCGGGCCATCAGACCCTTCCACCCACCCTCCTGTGCTGGTCTGTACGGCTGCTCTGCAGTTCCTAGAGGTGCTGGCCAAGGCAAGGGCTCTTCTGGGCAGCCCTTGCTCCGCAAAACAGCCCAAAATACAGGAGAGCAAAAACGTGCTGGTGTGGCTGCAAGGTCCCACTGCAGGGCAGAGCTGGGAGGAGAAGCCAGCCCTGCCTGCCGGGCTCCGGCCCCGCGATCCCCGTGGGCGCGCTGGGTTGGTCTTCGTGGTCCCTGAAAGCCTCTTTGCCTTCCAGCCTGTGCCTTCGCTGGTCTCTGGAACTGTGTCACCATCAACCCCCTGAACATCGCGGCTGGCGTGTGGATGATGTGAGCAGAGTTTCTTTTCTTTTTTTCTGCCGGGAGGAAGGTTCGGTTAATTAGACGCCACTGGGCAAGGGGCAGAGCTGCCCGGCTTGGGCCGTGGACGTGAGAGAAACATCCGTCAGGGTCTGCAGGCCCTGCGAATTGCCAGGTCTTGCTCCATTGGGCAGGTTGGGATGCTGGGTTTATTCTATTTGTATTCTTTCTTTACCCTTATCTGAGATACCCTTATCCAAATTAAGTCTGGGGCACCAGGTTTGGGAATTCTCGAGAAGCGGGGAGGGAGCGCAGCGGGGTCCAGCAAAAAAAACGCCATTCCCTTCTGCCTGCGTTTGGGCAGGGGAGCGGCTGGTCTCGGGGGGGGCCGGGGGGCATTGCTGACCCTCACTCTGGGCCACGCGGGCAGGGTTAACTCTGGTTTGCTCTATCTGGAGGCTCAACGCCTTCGTCCTGTTCCTGTGCGAAGCCCCCTTCTGCTGCCAGTTTATCGAGGCGAATGCCGTCTCTGCGAGGGCGGACAAGCTGCGGCCCTGGCAGAAAGCTGCTTTCTACTGCGGGTGAGGATGCTCCTGGGGTGTGTTGTGGTGGTGAAGCCATCCCGGGAACCGCGTTGGGATGCACGTGGGCAAGCCACGGTGGACGAGCATCCCCGCATCCCGTGGGGAGCGGAGCCCGGCTTTGAGGGCTGCCTCTGTCTTCCAGGATGGCTGTGTTCCCCGTCATGCTCAGCCTGACGCTGACCACGCTCTTCGGAAATGCCATTGCGTTTGCCACCGGGGTGCTTTATGGCCTGTCGGCGCTCGGCAAAAAGTAAGAGAGATCTGTCTGCTTGTGGAGGGGAGCGAAGGGGAAAGGTGGACCTCCAGCCCTCACCCCCATCTGCCTCCCTAAGGCTGTGCTTTCCTCTTGTACTAACCATGCGTTCAGGTGTAAATGCTGCCAGAGAACATCTCCCTGCCACCATCTCAAAGACCTGGGAGGGAAGGTTCTAGGGTTTGCTGAAGCTCTGAGCTTTTCCTTGGGAGCTCAGTCTAGGTTGCCCTGTGGGTCCCTCTCTCTGCAGCCGTTGGACGGATGGGCCCAGCTCTGGGGGCGGTGAGCGGCTTTGGTGGGGTTGGAGAGGGCCAGCAAGTCTCATTGCACTCCTGGCATCCCTCGGCACGGAGCGGCACGGGCCCCGGGTGGGAGACCTCTCTGCCAGGTGCTGTACCCGCCGTGGTGGGCACCCAGAGCTCACATCCCCACCCCGTCCCTTCTCTCTGCAGGGGAGATGCCATTTCCTATGCTCGGATCCACCAGCAGCAGAAGCAAATGGATGAAGAGAAGCTCACGGGGGCCCTGGAGGGACAGGCTCTCTGAAGCACAGGAGCTGGGGGTAACCTCTCCTGGATGCTGAGATGGTGAAGATATGGAAATCCACTCTGCCCTTCCCTCTGCCCGCTCCCTTCCCTGTGATGCCACGATTTCCCTGGACACTGCAGCAACTGGAAATCTCAGGGGCTGGGGCGGGCTGTGCCCTCTTCTCACACCAGCAGCCAGACCTCAGCACATTGGCCCCTCTCTCCACCTCAACCCTCAACCAAATATCTCACAGTCCCCCTATTTTTTAATTTTTTTTTAATTTTTTTTTGCTGCAGAGGTGCTGGCTCTTTGAGTGCTGCTTTACAAGCCGGAATAGGTAGCCTTTCTTTGGAGTGACGCCTGATAACGAGCCGAGGATGCAGGGCTCATTTGGGAACTGCTCTCCGGATGGGGTGAGGAGGGACAGAGCTGACGTGCCAGCTCCTTGCAAGCGCTGGTCTCGTGGGAGTTGGGGAGCTGCTGGCCTCATGCCTGGGGGTAACCTGCCATTGCACGTTACACCTTTTTAGTAACGCTCTCTGGCGTGGCCCTTCCCAGGTATGATACACTAATCCAGGGTTTAGCAATACATGGTGATGCTTAAGCTTGGTCTTCTTCCATTGAGTATATTTTAATATGGGTCCAGTTAGGCCAGGCATCGGAGGCATCGCTGACGGGAAAGGACTTCCAGCAAAAAACCCATATAAAGACAATAACCATCTCTGCCGAGGACCTGCCAGAGGTGCTGGGGCAGATCCTGGCACCTACAAAGCACAGTCCCCCCCTTCCTCCGGATACAGCTGCAGGCAGTTACTGCAATTTACTTGAATTACAAGAATTAATTACTTTGTCTTAATAAGGGTACTTTTCTTAAGCTTCACTCTTTTACTGGAGAAGAAGGGAAATAAGGTTTGCTTTACCTCAGCTGAAAAAGGGTACTATTGCTTGAGTCAAGTGGGATTTTTTGCTGGTGTAAGGGTTACTGATGTGCAAGAGCATCCTTCTCTCGTGAGCCCGGGACTCTGCTCTGTTATCTCTCACTCCCTGCGTCCACTCCTGCTCCTGTGACCCATCCCACCGCGCAACGGACCTGCTCTTTGCTGCTGTCTGGTACAGCCTTTCTCTTTGGGCTCATGTTCTTTTTGCATCAGTCCTGGGCTGGTTTTGTACGGGAAGGTGGCATATCCTTCCTTTGCAAACATAGAGAAGTCCGCACCATTTCAGTGTGCGGAGCTGGGATGTCTTGCTTCTTTATTCCAGGCTCCATCAGTGGTTCTCGCATCGTATTTCCTGTTTGCTTTCTATCATGCAGAACAAAACTGCTCACTAAGTCCAGATCCCCCTCTTCTTATCACGGTTTCTTTTTGGGGGTTTAATTTATTTGATTTTATGTAATTGCTTTTTATTTTGATTAGGAAAAAGGGGAATAATTTATTTCTAGTTATTTAAGTATTTTGATGGGACTCATTTTCTCTGGACATAGGAGAAAGGAGTGCTCTGTTTCCTGTCCTTCAAAGGACTGCCTCATTTCACTGGGGGGGGCTCTGAACCCGGGGAGAGCCCTGGCTGCTGTAACTGGGATGCTCTAACTGGGATGCTATAACTGGAATACTGTAAAACCCTACTTCAGCCTTCAGAGCATTTCTCAGACTTTGAAAGTGTGTTGTCCTTTGACCCCTTTGTCTTCTTCTGGGCCACTGGCTTGACAAAGTTTGTTTTCCCCCTCTTCTGGGAGAGAGAAGGGAGGAAAACGGGGCTGTAACTGCTGGACTGGAGGTTTGTACTCACTCAGCAGCCAAGGCAGATAGCAGCCATGGGGAGCAGCGGGGACTGCAGCCTGTTCTTACTCCCCTGCCCTGGGAGCTGGGCTCCGGCTGCCACCCACACTTTGTGGTCCCGTTTCAATCACTGGGGTAGCAGAGGGGTCGTGCTGCGGTCTGAGAAACGCTGGTGGAGGCTGAGCGCTGTCAGAAGAAGGGTCTGTCAAGCCAGCTGCTCTGTGGCTTCTGAGCAGTGTCATGTTGGAAAATATCTATATAACGTGTCCTTCCTCCAGGTACGGTGCATATTCGACACCAGAATGTCCTGGCAGAGCTGGGATGGAGCCGCCGCTGCAGGGGGTGGCTGGGGACGGATGTGGCTGGGTACGGATGTAGCATGCACGTTGCAGCGGGAGCAGAGCGGGCTCTGGAGATTGGGGGGCTAAGCTGCCAGCTAATGTTAGCTGCTGTTTCTTCCTTGGAGTTCAGGGAGGTGTGAGGATTTACACCAGTCAGGAACGCGCCTTGGGTTTATTTACACACACAGGCCCGTGCAGCTGGATCCTGGGTAGCCACTTTCCGCTAAGCCCCTTTCCCCCCAGCCCTCTGAACCGTGATTGCTCTGACACCAGCTTGTCCGGGACGCAGAATAG